GCGCTGTTAACTACAGTTTAATGATGTAGAGAAGCTTTAAATAAAGTCCATCAAAACTGAAGCATTAAATAGAATTTGAAAAAAACAAATGACGTGAAGAAACTAAGTGGAACTGACATTAAAAAATGAGTTTTAGGAAGTGATGAAACAAGATGTCAGCCTCCGATCACCTTTAGTCTTGAACCAGGATTTAGGGGCCCTGCCTGGGGATCTGGAGCTGATCTGACGACACTACTGTACATGAAAGATTATTTGTTCTATCAAAGATCTGAAGAGAGATGCCTTTGAGCCCGAAGGCCTCCAGGTGACTCCTGTCACATGTTCAGTCCTGCAGGATGCAGATCGTCCTGCAGGAACCACAACTTCCTTCCTCTAAAGATTCTCCGTCAGCAGGACAGAAAAGTGCTGACGCTCACACATGGAGCTGGACTGAGCTGGACTGAGCTGGACCCCCCAAATACACACACACACACACTTGTCCACACGTGGTCCTGGATTCAGGCCACAACGTCAACTGCAGCTCAGTCCGGTTTAAGTTTGGTTCTGCTGGTCTGACGGAGGGTTAATGTCGTGGTGGATCCACAGACGCAGAACGAGCCGGTTGGTACTGATCTTGGGAGATTAGAGAGGGACGAGAACCAGGAAGGAAGTGGAAACTCTGCTGACTTTGAATGTTTGTGTTCCAGAGTGTCCTGAAAGGGCCGACAGACCCTGCAACAACAGAGGAGTCTGCTCTGACGGACTGGGAGGGAACGGTACCTGCAGCTGCCAGGTAACCTCACACACACCTGGATAATCAATGAATATAACACTTTATTGATCAGCAGGAGGGAGGACGAGGCACCCCAAACACACCAGGTCAGGGGTTTGCCCAAAATGCTTTAAGGGCTGTAAACAGGAAGTATAATGTTACCATCCAACTCCCTTGCTGCCCCCCTGGGGGGTCTGAATGAACCAGATTGTAGCTGGCGATGTTCTATAAGCTCTTTGAGAGGTCTTCAGTGGACCCTTCCAGAGGTTTTAGGGGGCCCAACATATGTGGTTCTTGTGATCCTTAAATGGTTCTAATGGTCCTTGAGGAGACTTTAGGGGTAGCCTACTGTAGGTGGTTGTAGTGGACCTGTAAAAAATCTTTTGGGTACTGTAAGTGGTTCTAGTGGTCATTGAGCGTGTTCTGGTTGTACATATGTGATTACAGTCATTCCTTGGAGGTTCTTGTGGTTGGGTAGGTGGTTCTAGTGGTCCTTTTAGAAGGTCATACTGGTTGTTGAGGTGGCTCAATGAGGTTCTAACTGTAAATTTGGGGATTCTCTGTCTTTCAGGAGGTCTCTGTGGTACAACAGGATGATCTAGTTCTCCTTGAGGAGGTTTAATCAGAATCAGAATCAGAAATACTTTAATAATCCCTGGGGGAAATTATTTTCGTTACAAACTCCAGATATACAAACAACATATATGAAGAACATATATATATATAAAAGATAAAATGTACAGTTTAATAATGTGCAAAAAGTGCAAAAATGAGGGGGTGTCTGACTCTGTGATAGGGAAGGTCGTTTGTACGTTATGCATTTGACCTCACATGAGGAAAGAATATATCCTGTGGGTTCTGCTCTGTGGGTGGCGATCTGGACGTGAATTCATAGAGCTCCATGCTAACGGAGCTCTCTGATGGGCCACGTGGCTTGTCAGGTAAGAGGAAGGTAACGAGAGAACCTTCCGCCTCAAGATGGACCTGAAGCCTGCGGACAGCCTCTTCGCCCTCGTCTGTCTACGGTAGTCAGAGGTGTGTCCAGCTCGCCCCCCAACGACGATATGTATCGTGTGATGCCAGTCATGGATTTTTAAAGCAGTGCTACATCTTATACATGGCTATACAGTATAGCAGCAGGTTCATGGTTCCTGACATACTTGGTGTGATCATGACGTGTGTTCAGATGGGCACTTTGCTGCATCGCGGAATAGACCTGCTAGATGTGGATATTAGATGTCGCTCGTGTATCTCCCGCAATATATGGCATCCCAGCCCTAGATCAGACATCACATAGGTCATTTTCGTACACACAACTCAGATCATCTCGTATCTAAAACTACTATAGTTTAAATTAAGTATAAAAAAAACAATTAAGTATCTCCGACTCACTGTTGATATAAGTTTAGATTTATACATTTATATTTGTAAGTGTCATTAGCTCATTGCAATGCTATCTCTCATTTAATGTGGATAGACTGCTACCATGCTTATGCAAGATTGATCGTTGTTTCGTGTTCCTACGGTTACTCCTAGTGCGGTTTCTGTCTCTCTAATTTCAGGCTTCCAGTTGGGTTCCTGTTATTCGAATTGTTTTTCTTGAGAGTATTTACAAAGGTCCAAACTGTGATCAGGGTCAGTCTGCAGTTATTGATCAATAATAACGACTGATTTTACAATGTGTAAACATCGTAACCTTTGACCTGTCTCTGTTATCTCTTCCTGTATACCTGTTTGTTACCTGCTAACCTCTGTCTGTTACCTGATTCTGTTTCTGTCCAGTTACCTGTATCTTTCACCTGTTCTCTGGACTGTTTCGGTTACCTGTGCTGTCTTTTGTTAGCTACCGTTACCTGTCACCTGTAACTTCTGATTTACTGCTTCTTAGTATTCATACTTTTTTTACTTGTTTCTGTTACCTGCTCCCAGTACCTGGTGACCAGTACCTGTCTCTGTTGGAAGTTACCTGTGTCTTTTACAGCTGTTGGTGTAACTGTGTTGGGTTTCAGAGCTTCCTGAATGTGTGGCTCTCAGCTGTCAGCAGAACTCTCGCTGTATTGAAGAAGCTCTGACGGGACAGTTTGTGTGTCAGTGTCTGCCGGGTTACCAGAGATCAGGAGCTCAGTGTGTGTGTGAGTGACCACATCCAACTATCACTCGTTAATAATTAGCAGACAGTTATTAAATTATGAGAATGAGGTTCCTGTACGTTAACGGTGCAAATGTTATGTTGGACGGTTCTTTTAGGGTCAAGGAAACTATGCTGCCCTACAAAGGCAAACCACAGAAACTACAACTTGAAACAAACAAAATTAAATTTTGTCTGAGAATGAACTTTTAAATGTCTGTTTACATTTGTTATCTTGTATCTTACTAACTAGACAGGACAGGGTATTAATGTGCTTATTGAAATAAATGTGTCACAAATGTGTTAAATCTGAATGACTGTTAATGACTCATCTATTTCAAACAAATACAGATTTAATGTAATAAAGTAGATTTTGTCAGGAAGAAAACACTGTAGTTTTTGCTCTCTGCCTTTGCACTACCTATATATCTCTGGATGACGTTTTGTCACTAAATCGAAGTATGTTCTCGTAGTTACTCTGACCAGTAAGACATTTTAAAGAGGACATTAAAAGACGTGATGTTTGTCTCCTCAGCCATTAACCCTTGTCTCCAGCGGATCTGTCACGCCCAGGCCTCATGCGTCCACACTGGTCCGAACCAGCACCTCTGTGCCTGCAACGAGGGCTACAGCGGGGATGGACGAGTCTGCATGGCCATCGATCCGTGTCAGAACAAACGGGGAGGCTGTGCCGCCGAGTCCACACGCTGCATCTACGACGGACCCGGGAAGGTAAGGAACTACTGAGACCATGGGCAAGACCAAGAGCAGGGTCCTGAGGAACTGAGATCAGGATTGTAACTATATCAGGAACAGGATCAGGTACAGGATCAGGATCAGGTACAAGTTCATGATTGTAAACAAGAACAATATCAGGAACAAGATCAGGTACAGGATCAGTATCAGTATCAAGTACAGGATCAGGATCAGGAACAGGTACAGGAACAGGAACAGGATCAGGATCAGGAACAGGATCAGGATCAGGTACAGGATCAGGATCAGGTACAAGTTCATGATTGTTAACAAGAACAATATCAGGAACAAGATCAGGTACAGGATCAGTATCAGTATCAAGTACAGGATCAGTATCAGTATCAAGTACAGGATCAGGATCAGGATCAGGAACAGGATCAGAATCAGAATCCGGATCAGGAACAGAATCAGGATCAGGATCAGGATCAGGTACAGGAACAGAATCAGTATCAGGTACAGAAACAGGATCAGTATCAGGTACAGAAACAGGATCAGTATCAAGATCAGGATCAGAATCAGGATCAGGATCAGGATCAGGATCAGGATCAGGATCAGGTTCAGGAACAGAATCAGGATCAGGTACAGGTACAGAATCAGGATCAGGTACAGGATCAGGTACAGGAACAGGATCAATAATAATAATAATTGATGAAAAATTGTGTTATTATAGGAGAGCTGTTGTAACGCATCCTGCAGCCTGCAGGGGGCAGCAGTGACATTAACCCTTTGTGTACCTGCTCTGTGTCGTCCAGTCTCACTGCGAGTGTCTTCCTGGTTTTGACCTCCTGTCTAACGGCAGCTGTAGCCTGATAGACTCCTGTAGACCTGATTCCTGTCACAAGAACGCCAACTGCACCATGTTGAGCCCAGGAAGAATCAAGTCAGTCACTTTGTTCTGGATCCACTGAACGTACCGATGTTGAATCAATGGGATCACACAGATCACCTGTCCCTCTGTCCCTCAGGTGCACCTGTCTCCCGGGTTACATTGGCAACGGTGAAGTTTGTCACGGGAACATCATCCAGCGTCTGAACGCTCTGAACACACAACCTGGAGGACAGTGGAGCGGTCAGCTGAGCAACGCCATCACTCTGTTTGGTATGATGACTTCTTCTTTTATAACCCTCCTACACTAGCAGTGTTTGAACTCCCCCTGTCCTTCCAGCTTCCAGTCCGAGTACAGACAACTAACAGGACCGCTAACTAGCTAATAGCAGCTAGTAAACAGTTAATCATATGGCAGCAGTGCAGCGGTAAGAGACTTCCTGTGTTAGCAAGAGAAAAAGGTCCGTGTTCAACAATCCTCTGATACTTTGGTCCCTGGGATGAGGAGCAGCTCCTGAGCGTAGTTTAACGTTGGTTTGGTTTTACTCAGACTGTCAGAAATCAGTTTGCTTACTTTCACACAAACCCACCAATTAGGCAAATGAAGAAGACTCTCCTCTTCCTCCTAGCCCGCTGTCTGAATCACTTACGCTCTAGCAAGACTATAGCCGGTGCGTTCGAGGACCCCAGGGGAGTAATAGTAATTCTCTGTGTGTGTGTTTTCAGGTTCTCTTTCGTGGCCTCTGCAGAATTTGGGTCCTTTCACTCTGTTTGTCCCGATCAATAAAGGCTTCAGGGGAATTTCAGTAAGAAAAACTTTAACCAGCAGCTCTTTTTAACTTTTATGTATACAGTCAAACTCACAACATGACTCTTACTTTGGAAGTTTTGCAGGTCCTTCCTGTTGACTCGGATACTTTGTCTAAATAAAAGATATCAGAATAAATCAGATCAGATGAATGTAATGTTGCCATGGTGATCTTTGTCGATCAGATACGGACTCTGACAGCCAAACTGCCCAAAGCTAAATACCTGTGTAAGATGCACCTGGTTGCCGGGGTGATGCCCTTTGACACGCTAAAGAAGACTAACATCTTTTACACCCTGACTGGAAAAGGAGCTGACATCGACACGTCAGAGGGGGTGAGAGAGTTGAACGCCATCAAACATCAGACGGTTTAAAGCTTTCAGGGACGTTTCCACCCTCAGTCTCTTCTTCTCCTCCAGGACTCTCAGACTAAAATCCGAATCCATGGCAGCAGGAAGAAAGGTACAATCATCCAGTCGGATATGGTGGCGTCCAACGGGATGATTCACATCATCAATAAGCTGATGGACAGTGTTTCTCCCACAGTGGAGAGCGACACACAGGTGAGTTCTCTGATCAAACTCTCTGATCGTTTCATTGATCCGCTCATTCATTTCTTGTTACGTTTCCTCAAAGGAGAATCTGATGAAGATCATTGCTGACTACGGAAAGTTTGAAAAGTTCAAGTCTTTATTGGAGGTACGTAGAAAGGTTTATTGCACATAACTGATAAATGTAAACCAATGTGGTGTACTGTAAGAGGGATGAATGGATCGGGAAAGGGTTGAGGGATGAAAAGATGCATGGATGGATGATCTCTCCAATCAGTCTGCTGTTGGGATGTAGATCAATACATTTATAAGCTGTAATATTATAATAAAGAAAACTGATGTTGCAGTTTTGTGTAGATTTCACAAGTTATATTATATACTATAAGTAGGCAGGAGTAAGCAGAAATGTAATCCTGAAATTGATATGGGTTGATCAGAAGTTTTTTTTTTTATTTTTTATAAAAGTTTTATAGAAGATTTTTGTTAAAGAGTTTTCTAACATTTTTCTAAAGTTTTTTTTATAAAAGTATTTAAAAAGACATAACCACAACTCAGACAGAGTACACATCACTGGTTTATGTACATACATAAATGCAACTCTTAAGTTTGTCACATATTTCCTAAAGTGAACTGTTTTGCTTCTGCAGAAAGCTGACCTGGCGTCAGTCCTGGACCTTCCTGGTCCAATCACCGTCTTTGCTCCCAGCAGTTCAGCCTTTGATTCGATGACTGAAGGACACCTGCAGTATCTCAGCAGTGCCAAAGTAAGAACCAAACTGAACCATTCTCAACTAGTTTCAGATATAATTTAGCAACATGATCCAAAAACACTTCCCACACAATCCTCCAGGGTCACAACAAACTGGTGGAGCTGCTCAGGAACCACATCGTCCAGTCCACGGCGGTCAGTATTTTAATTCAACCTGTTTTCACAATGTAAGATGTTCCATCAAATCTTCTGATTGTGATTTATTTCCCTACTTTGAAGCTGGAGGTCTATAACGCTGTGTCCACTCCCAGAATTGTGACTATGGCCAATCAGGTTTTGACAATTAGCGTGACAGAAAATGTAAGTATTGATCTTAAAATCTCCTGTAAAAGAGATCTCATTGATATTTCTGTGCATTCGTCTGTCAGATCAAATTAGTCACATCAGGACAGAAATGTTTGACTTCAGGATTTGGATCCCTGTGAATTCTGTTTAACCTGCAATTTTGTTCAATCACATTTTTTCCGCTTTTTACTTTGGCAATGTTCACTTTCTTCCACAATTTCATTGCAACAAAATGTCTAAAACTGTAACAACATGCATTGCAATTTGTTAGAAAAGCTGTTGGGAAATCAGATTTTTGGCTGCAACAATCCCAAAACAAGCTTAATAAATTAATAATATAACATCTTATCATATAATAAATAATAGATTTATAATATGTTGAGGTGTTTGACTCGTTTTTCTTTTTCAGGGTCAGATTTTGGTGAACGAAGCGGCGGTGTTGGAGGCCGCAGTGGAAGCTAAAAACGGACGTCTGTATGTTCTGGATGGAGTTTTGACTCCGCCCTCCATCCAACCTGTGCTGCCCCACAGGTGTGACATCAATGAGACCAAAATCTTCGAGGTGAGCTTCTACAGCAGCGGCTGCCATGTTTAGTTCCCTGCTCACCTAGCATTAGGATTAGTATTAGCACAAAGAATTTACCTTCTGTGAGTTCTGTTAATAATGTTCACTGTGAAGAGATGTTCGATCTGGTTTGTGTTTCAGGGTCAATGTGAGAGCTGCTCAGAGGTCAAACACTGCTCATCTGGAGACTATACCGTGAGACTTTTACATACTGTCTTTATCTGTATGAGTTAGATTTTTATGATTGGAAACATGATGATCCATCTCCTTATTGATCAGGGCTCCTTCACCAGCGGATGTGTCTTCAATATGGACTTACTCGATATTAGCCTCCCGGTAAAAGGCTGCGCTCCTCTCTGCAGTGCCAATGTCACGGTAAACAAACAGACGGATTCCTCAGATTATCAGAACCAACTGCGATTAAAGATTATTGGAGCTTTTGTTTCTGTTTGTTCAGACTCCAACATGTTGTAAAGGCTTCTACGGTCCGGACTGCAGTCCCTGTCCAGGAGGATACCAGACTCCATGCTCCGGACACGGTCAGGTCAGATTCAACACGCTGTTATTAAATCTTGAAACACTTTCTGGTTACACCTGATGGTGAAAGGTGAAAGGTCGGCGGGAACAAATGAAAGTCGTCCTTTAACTTCAGTTTGTCATTTAAAGTAAAAATGTCTTTCATGCTAGGCCTAATATGTTAATATTTTAAGGGGTTTACTTTTTTTTTTACAATTTAAATATGTAGTAGTTTTTGGAAGGGAACTGGAGGAAATGGAAGTGTTTTTCTGTTTCAGTGTCTGGAGGGGATTGGAGGAAATGGATCCTGTATCTGTGATTCGAAGTTCCGAGGCTCTCGCTGTCAGTACTGCTCCTCCTCCGACAGATACGGACCCAACTGTGACAGAAGTAAGTCTGAGTTGTGACATCATACAGGTAGCTGTGATGTATGAAAGATGATGAAAGCTCACCTGTGTCAAACCTCACCTGTCTGTCCTCAGCCTGCCCCTGTATCCACGGACAGTGTGACAACCGTCCGGACTCAGACGGCCGCTGTAAAGTGGGCTCCTGTCTGTCGGGTTTCACCGGTCCGTTCTGCGAGCGCCGGACGGCAGCCTGCGGCGTTCAGGCTCAGTTCTGTCACGCCCATGCAGACTGTGACTTTAGCAAGGGAACCACCAGGTGAGTTTACGTGCATCTATGCTCACAATTATATGAAGTATACCTGATATTAATCAATCAGTGTGCTCTGTGTTTAGGTGTGTCTGTAAACCTGGTTACCAAGGTGACGGTATCACCTGCGTGGAGTCAGACCCCTGTGCTCTTCCTCAGCGCGGCGGCTGCAGCGTGAACGTGAGTCGCTTCTTAAACTCTGCAGTCATTTATTCAAAGACGTAAACAGTCAGTCCTGACCCCGCTGTGTCTGCTGTCTTTGCGCCCCCTGCAGGCCAAATGCATAAAGACAGGACCAGGTTCTCACTCCTGTCAGTGTCTGACTGGATGGAGGGAGGACGGAGACGAGTGTCAGCCAATCAACAACTGTGACGGTCCTGACAGAGGAGGCTGCCACCCCAACGGCACCTGTATCTACATCGGACCTGGACAGGTAACACCCACTCTGGTTCCATCATCATCACACATTTTAAAGGACCACACTGAGCAGGATTTAATCTGGACCGTTAAACTCTTTTATCTCTCTTATTCACAAGCTATTAGCCATCACGGTTATGTCACTGCGCTTTGTGGTGGCAGAAAAACCAAAGAGACAAGTGGAGATTACGGAGAGAAACTGAACCCAGAATAAAGACACAATGTTCGTTGTGCTGTTGAAATGGCGTTTGCTAACGTCTACAAACAACCAGCACAACAGAGTCCACAGTCAAAGCTAACATTATAGGGTGAAATATTGTTAGCGAATAGGCAAGCTAATGTTGTCCAGCTGGAACTCAGTCACACTGAATAACATTATCCAGCGTCGGCTTTCTACCAGAAAGTCACTTCCCTTTAATAAAAACAAACTCAAAAATGTCCTTCTTTTTCTTTGTTAAACCAACAGAGTGACTGTATGTGTAAATCCGGCTACAAAGGAAACGGGCAAGACTGTGAAGCTGTTAATCAATGTGTAACTGCAACTGGAACCTGCCATTACTTAGTGAGTACAATTCATCTTGTTAAATATTAAAGGTAAAGCAGACAGTAGGATATGAATGATAAATAATAATAAAACCTTTTGTGTTCAGGCCACCTGCCGCCTGCTGTCCTCTCAGTGGACGTGTGTGTGCAATGATGAATACACTGGAAATGGACACATATGTTACGGTACAGTCCAACAGGTGAGACTCATTAACACTAACGACCATGTTCACGAGTCAACCAGCGCTTTCGTATCTTCACGACTTTGTTCTTTTGATGCGTTCAGGAGCTGATGGTTCTGCCAGATGCCTCAGAGTTCCTCACATGGACAACTGTGAGTATAAGACCTGGATATAAAACACACTGACAGCTTCAATAACTGTGAAAATCTATTTATCTACTGGATAATAACATAATTAAGAAGTTAACAGGGACAAAAACATAATAAAACTCACCAAAACCGTATTTGTTTGTCTTTCCAATCACCAACTCTGGTTTTGGTCTAAATAAAATTAGATATTAGATGTTTTGTATTTGTGATAAGGTCTGCAACGTTAAAGTGCGTCCACTAACAGTAGTTAGGCTCAGATTGTTATTCTCAATGTCTGACTTGTCTGGAATGGCTCTATATGGTCATTTGTATACGTATATAACTAAACAACAAAGTATAATGTAAATGTATGTACATATGTTTGTACATATGGACATATGTAAATCTACATACATAAATACAACTAAATGACAACATGTACTGTACATTTACGAATGTACATATTCGCAACTAAACAGTTATATTAATCAGCAAAATACATACGTATGTAATTGGAACTCAAGGAGGGTGTACATCTTAAGTTTGTGTGTATATATTATAAACATAAGTATGTAACAACAGCTATATACAATATTTATAATGATATATATATATATATTATTTTCCCTATAGCTAATTTAATATAATGTCAGAGATTATATTTCTGTGTTTGCATCCCAGGAGACCGGTTTGTCTTGGACTCTGGTGGATCAGAACATTACACTCCTGGTTCCGTCTTCAACTGCCATTGCTAAAATTTCTTCAGAGGACAAAAACTTCTGGACCATGAAGGAAAACCTGCCGAGTCTCATCAGGTTCTTCAAACGTGGCTCATGATTTGTTATTTATTGGCGAGTCTGTAGTTTGGTGATTGTCAATAGATTAAAATGAATGAATTTAGTTTTATGTGTAATCGCTGCCCTCTGTCCTATATCACAGAAATCACATAATCCCGGGTAATCATCCAATATCCATCCTGAGCAACACTTCCTCTCTGACTTCCCTTCTGAAGACATCACTTCCTGTTACAACAACCAATGAGGTGAGTGCACAGAAGTGATGGTTTACCAGCTAATCTTAGATATAGTCACTTTGTGACTGTTAGAAAGCATCCTCTGACTTCTACTGATTGAGTTTTATTTATTAAGGGGAAAATATGTATTTTAAAAAAATCCTTTCTTTTATAAAAGAAACCTTTCAGAAAAGTTTGGTTCAGAAACTCTCCATTAACTTTCAGCTCACAGCTGTTGGAGGAGCAACAATCACCACACCAAACCTAGCCGCTACCAATGGATTGATCCACATCATCGATAAGGTACAAAGCTCATAATGTCCCAGGAGCTCCAACTCTTTCCTTTCTGTCTCTCACCGTTTCATATGTCTGTCTGCAGGTTTTGGTTCCTGAGAGGAAGCTGAGTGAAGGTCTGCTGGCGACTCTCGCTCTGAGCCCCGACTTCTCTCTGTTCAGATCGTATCTCATCGTACGAACGAACAAACGCACCACACGATACGTTCTCAGCTTTAAATATTGGTAAAGTCTGTTCAGTTTGTTTTTCTCCGTTTCATTCAGAATTACAATCTGATGGACGAGATCAGACAGATGGAAGAGTACACTGTCTTCGCTCCAACAAACGCTGCCATCGCTGATTACCTCAAGACAATAGCTGCAACTGCATTGGTACAGTAATTCAGAATTTCATGATACTACTGGTTGAAATCGGTTAGTTCATGCTTATGAAAGCACGTCACATTTTGTTTTATGGGAAGACAAAATGATTGGATTTTGATATAAAAATACAAAGTTTTTGTCATTATTTGGCACACATTATTAAGTAGGGGCACTAAACTGAGGGTGTGATATTAAAGGGTTAAAATTTAATTTTTCATTTTATCTGGACATTGACAGCAATAGATGCGGCAAAAGTTGGATTGGATTGGTGTTTTCTGTCTAAAGTAATAATTACTATGAAGCGACCAAATGAAACTTAAAAAAAACAATATTTAGACAACAAGAGGCACTAGGAGAGGCAGGCAGAAGAAGGGAATGGCAGAAACAGGCAAAGAAGCCAGTTTCTTTGCAGTTGATGTGATTTTATATTTAAGTAATATTCAAACATATTAAAACTGCATCAAATATTTTCTCATTTGGTGAATTTTCTGACTTAATAACAGATTGTACATTATCATGGATTGATTTTTACATAATTAAAGCAGTGAATTTTTTTTTTTAGCAAAAGATAAATTTTTTATTATTTGTTTTCTACTTAAAGTAAAACATTTTGCAGTTAGTACAGAAATTTAATTATATCCTCCCTTTACATTTGTCACACAAGGTTAGTACAGGTAAAAACTAAAATAACTCGTAAATATCTTTATATTTTATAATAAGTTATTAGTAAGTTATTAAAGAACTGGATAGTTTTTATTGTTGCTTTTTATTTTGTACTTTAAACAGGATGTGAATACGACTCGTTACCACGTGGTTGCGTCGGAGCGTCTGCTGGAGAGTGACCTTCAGTCTGGAGGATACAAAAAGACGCTGCTTGGGTTCTCCTTCCAGCTCGGCATCTATCCACGAGACGGAAAGGTTTTACAATCAATTATCCACCATTATCACCATCATGGCACCAAATATAACATATATATATATATATATATATATATAATCCAAACTATCTGTCTGTGTCTCATCCAGCTATTTGTGAACGATGCTCAGATAAACTCCTCCAACATCCTGAGCATTAACGGAGTCATTCATGGTCTGTCGGCGGTTCTACGCATCAACAGGAACCGCTGTGATGAGGCCAAACAGCAGAAAATCATGGTAGCGTCCTCAGAGACCTGTAGATCTGTACCACTGAGCCTCCTCAAACTGGACTTAACTGACTCCCTCTTTTCTCTCCAAAGGGGACCTGTGTGGACTGTTTGTTCCCACAAAGCAAACCCTGCCCGAATGACACGATACCGGATGTAAGACCATTATTTTTTTTAAATTTGACTGTAATTAAATATCAAAAGAGTCAAACAAACTGTGAGACTGTAAAAACAACCAGAAAGGTTCCAGCAGGAGTTGAATTTATTCCACTAAAGGATTCTGACTAATGAGGCACAAAGGTCGACCTTCACCTTTGTTAGTTTCATCAGAAAATTGGACTGACAATAACATCAAACTCTATTATTAAACCTGGCAGATTCAGGTTGTTGTTCTCAGTGTCTGACAGCATTATGGGAGAAAGATCCTACAGAGATATGACGAAGCCTTTAAGGAAGTTTAACCGCGAGCAAGCCGTAACTATCACCGTATCGACGTCTCCGAAGCCCAGACTCCAGAGAGTACAAACCCACACAAAAATGTTGTGACAGAAACAGAATAAAACTCACCAAAACCGTCTTTGTTAGTCTTGTTGTTCCCACAATCTATATTCATCTGCTAAATTCATGTTTTAAATCTTATATATAATATATCAGAAATGTACATTATGTAACCGTAACTTAAAATATGATATGATAATTTGCATATGTATATAACTACAACAACAAAAGTATAACAGACATTTATGTACATATGTTTGCACATATGTAAAAGCAACATAATGCAACTCAGTGACAGCATATACTGTATATTTACATTCGTATATAACTAAACAGCAAAATACATACGTATGTAATTGCAACTCAGGGAGGGTGTACAACACAAGTTTGTGTATAAAGCGTATAACACAAATGAATATTTGCAATATGTTTTCTTGAGTTCCAGATATGTACAAAGAGAGAGTGTATATTTTTATGCATTAAATAATATAATAATAACAATAAAATGAATCATTAAATACTTAACCTAAAGGTAAAATAGATGATTTTATGATGTAATATCTCCTCTGATAACTTCCTATCCTCTGCAGAAATTAGTGAAGAGGAGGAAGTGTATGCTGAGTCGGATGTTTGAAGAAGAGCGCCTGCTGACGATCGGCTGCAAAGCGTCCTGCCTGCAGACCCACATGGTACGCCGTCCCGCTGTCGCAGGTAACGGTCAGACACATAGCGAAGACGCAGAGCGCTCATTGTCTTTTCTGTCTAGGTGCTGCGGTGTTGTGGAGGGTTTTTCGGGGAGCACTGTGAGCCATGTCCCGGCCCAAAGGATCAGCCCTGCTTCGATAACGGAGTCTGTTCGGACGGGACCAACGGGACTGGAGTCTGTCAGTGTAACCGAGGGTTCAATGGGACCGCCTGCGAAACCTGCGAGAGCAACAAATACGGAGTCCACTGCGATCAGGGTGCGTCATACAGACATACAGATAAATAAAGTCAAAATATACCCGCTCCCTCCTCACTCAGTGTATCTCGTCTCCAGAGTGCGGCTGTAAAAATGGCCGCTGTAACGACGGGCTGAGCGGCAATGGGGCGTGCGAGTGTGACATTGGTTGGAGAGGAGTCCTCTGTGACGAAAGTATGACAACTTTATTTTTACTTTATTGTTAAAATTTTTTTTTTAAATTGTCGATGTTCTCAAAATATTTTGACTGTATATTTAAAAAAAGTCAAAATTAATGCATTCTGTAAATTTCTACTTTAATCTCAAAATATTCACTTTCTCGCAAACATTTTCAATTTTATTTCCAAATTTTTCAAATGTAAACCTTTATTTATTTTTATTATTTACAACTTTATTTTTTAAATATTCACACATAAAATTTCTAATTTATTTAAAACGTTCTAATGTTTCTGACTTTTCTACATACATTTCAACTTTATCCTTTAAATGTTCATTTATAAGAAGTCATTTTTCAACTTCAAAAGATTTTTTCTCAGTTTTTATAATTTTTGACTCTATTTTATATCTGTTAATTAAATATTATGACTTTGTTCTTGAAAAATTCAGCCTATTTCAATTAATGACGTTTTTTTTCCCCAAAAAAATATTAGCTTTTTCTTGTACTCTTACAACTTTATTCCCATAAAGCTATTTCTTATAAATCTTTGAACTGCAGTATTGAGACTCTCACACTGAGCTGTGTCTGTTTCAGAGATTGAATCTGCAGATGATGAACTGTGCGGCTCGGTGAAATGTCACACAAGCGCAAAGTAAGTCAACACAAACTCACTGTGGCTACGTCGCCCCCTTCAGGATGCGCTTGTTATTGCACATGGGACGTTTCAGACTTCCTGTTAATGAAATGTTTGGTCTGCTCCGACAGCTGTGTGATCGCGCCGCCCTTCTCTCGGTGTATCTGTGTTATTGGATTTGAAGGAAACGGATCTTTTTGTCAAGGTAACAACACGAGAGCTGATCAGAAACAGCTGAGATCAGACAGAAATACAGTCAGAGTCAGTTGTTACAAAGCATTTGTGGGATGATGCTGATGATGATGATGCTCTGTGTGTGTGCAGTTAAAGACCCCTGTCTGGAGCATAATGGTGGCTGCAATCCGAACGCGATCTGTAAGAGGACTCGACCCGGCAGAAGGGAATGCGTCTGTGACCGTGGTTACTCCGGTGATGGAATTGTGTGCGTGGGTATGTTCACTGTTTTCATTCTTTAAACTCATCTTCGTTCTCTTCCTGTTATTGAACAGCGACTCATTTGAGTTATTGTTGTAATAAAAATTAAATAATATTTTTTCAATTTCTCTAATTACAATACATTTCTATCTAATACAAGACATGACAGTTAAATAACTGGCTAACAGACAATATGTACCTTGTGTTTGGAGTGCAGAGATTAAAAAAATGTAAACTCACCTTGAATAAAACATGAGTGTCCTGTTTGGAACATGTGGCAGTGGTGTTCGGCCCCTTCTGGTTGAAATGAGTATTACAACAACATACACTATTTTTTTTTTTTTCCTGTTCTCATTGGTGAAAATTAAAATGTTAAAATATGATTTTGAGGAAATAAAAAATGCACTTGCCTTTCAGGGCTTCCGTAGAGAATACTGCAAGAAAACAGAAAATACTGCAACGTAATGCAAAAGCACTTTGAGGTTACACAAAAGTATTACTGCAAGGAAAACACTGCAGGAAAAACTTTGAGTCAATATCAAACTGCTGTGAGTTACTCTGACTGTCGTTCTGTCAGTTAAATAAACAGGTTGTGTGATGTATTCGAGTGCTGCAGGAGTTTTGTGTTTCTTCCGCAGAAATCAATCCGTGTCTGAAAGGAAACGGCGGCTGCCATGTCAACGCGGACTGCATTCACATCGGACCAAACAAAGTAAGAACTGATCTTAACTTAAACTGAGGTCTGCTGATAGTGAGGCGTTCACTGCCGTCACGTTTATTTTTTACTGATCTCATTCTCTGTAACTCTGCAGACTTCCTGCGCCTGCAAATTTGGTTACTTAGGCAATGGACAGAACTGCAAGATGATCGACTACTGCCTAAAGGTGATTCAGTTTCATTGAATTATTTGATATTAAGATCAAGTATTAGTTACCGTGGGTCTTAAAAACTGTAGGATTTGAACATTTTGATTTGGTTCTATTTTATTTATTTACCATAATTATTTCATTTAATTATTATATGTTTGTATGCACTGTTTATATTTCTTTGATAAAAGTGTTAAAAAAACAGGTGGAATTCTGCGAGGCAGCAAATTAGTATTGTAAAAGTACTTAAAGGTTATGCAAAACATAATTTGAGATAATTTAAAAGTACTACAAAGGAGCGTTCTTGTAAGGTAAAGTTTTTATAAATTATGTTTTCAGAAAAACGGCGGCTGTCCCGTTAACTCTCGGTGTAACATGACGAAACCAGGTTTTCGTAAATGTTGGTGTCCCAAAGACCATGTGGGAGACGGTTTCACCTGCATAGGCAACATGGCGCAGGTGAGTGGCTGACACACACTGACAATGAAATGCTAAGAACTGGACTATGGACTAACTGCTGACTCTGTGCAGGAGCTCCTGAAGAAAAGGCGAGACTTTTACCTCGCGGTGATGGTGAGTGACGACACGTTTTACTCTGTCGCCTCCTGCAGGTCAGAAAACGTTAACGCTGGTACAAACTCTGTTTTCAGATTTTGGAAATTCCTCTGACAGGTCGCGGCCCGTTCACCGTCTTTGCTCCGCCCGCTGGCGCCTTTAGCGCCCTCAGAAAGGTGAGCAATTAAATGTCTCTTTTTAGTGTCAGATGTATTTCTTTCTTTATGCTTCTTGTAGTGTGGCTAACCCTATCCAACTTCAGTCCACACTGAAATAAACTAAACTCTTGGATGATCCCCTCTGAATAAGTAAAAAGACGGTAACATTTATAATCAATAAATTGTGTACAAAATATAAATAAACCAATAATTTTTGTAAAATAATTGAATAAATGATAAAACTCTACTTTGACTTTGTTGTTGCTCGAGCTATAGTCCATATAAAATATAGGAACATTGCAGATAGTAACGTTATTCTAAATACGATGTCAGTTATTTTACATTTTATACACTTTGTTCATATGACTATTTAATATTGAACACTTTGGGGTTCCAGCGCCTTCATCAGGTCAGAATTATAATACTTTGGATCATATATTCTATACTGACTTGATATTAATGAGTTGTGTTTTTCATTATGTATGCAAAAATGTTTGTTTATTTATCATTTATTCAAATGTGCAATTCACAAGTTAGTTTTACTTAGATGTAACACCTTACTGTTGTTATTTGTTGCTGTTGCTATTTCTTTAATAATAGTGAATTTTTATTCAACAACAGTCAGAATGTCATTCACATGTTGCTAATATCACTGATATTATTTGTTATTATTATTATTATTATACTACAGTTACTATTATTCACTATAACCACTTGCTCATTGCTCCCATTCGATGTTCGTTGTTGTCATCGTCATCTCTTTCACATTCATTTTGTCATCAGTCACTACTATTAGGGTAGTTGTTGCTACTGCTTGTTGCTGTGCGTCTGTCTGTTCTGTCTGTCTCTCTGTCTGGCCTGTCTGTCTCTTCTCTCTCTCCCACCCACCTAGAACCGAAGGGGTCTGTCCGAGGGTTTCTGCCTGTAAAAGGCAGTTTTTCCTTGCCCCCTGTCTTCCAAGGTCTTGCTCCATGGTGGAACTGGCTTGGCGTCTCTGTAAATAATGTTATAAGGAGTTGGTCTAGACCTGCTCTATTTGAAAAGTGTCCTGAGATAACTTCTGTTATGAAATGGCCGCAAATAAAACTGCCCCGAATTGAATTGGAATGTTTCCCCAAAATAAGCACTGTTCATCTAACATAATTTTTTCTTCAACTGAAGCATTCCAAGACATATGCTAATACTGCTGATGTTTAGCGAAGTTATAATGTTTACCTTTTTAGTCCTTTAATTTATTTTTTTCTTTAGTGGAGTTCGTCACAGCCGGGTGGGACAGGCAAAGAAACAACTTTCACCATCTTGGCAAGGCCACATCGCTCATGTTCACACTCACCTAGGGGATCAGTTCCTGAGGGAAGCCCCCGAAACCTGACGTCTCTATCCGGACACGTTCCTGACCCACGAAGTCACCGGAGGTGACCAATCAGAGAGCAGAATCAGACTCAGGACTGTAGCTAACATTAATGATTAACTATGAATTTGTTGCTTTAATTGGGGGGAACCTTAAGCTGAACAGTTATATACACTAAGGAGAGGGCACAGCATGTTAAAAGTGAATAATACTTGTGACTTCAGCCTGTGAGTTTATTTGATAATACGCTACATGTGTTTGATATATAAAGATATAAAGAAAACACAAGAAAAATGTACTGTATATGTTTATTACAGAAAATACGTCTCTCGGTGGGCGAAAAAAAAGTCATGATACACAAAGATAATAATATAGTGATAATATAAATATAAATATATATAAGCAAATATCCTATACATAGACAAAATATACAAAAAATAACTAATATAAGAAATATAACATAATATGTTCTTATTATTAGAAATACTGTCAGCTCGTACTGTCAGCTAGCTTCATCCGGATTTCCCGGGGCTGATACGGCGTTGTGGGGTGGCTGGCTGGTAGAAGCACCTAATCAGAAAGCTCGGCGGGTTTGATTCCCGGCCTAACCTCTGGCTTGCATGTTGGAAGTGGTGAATGTGTGCCTGTGAATGGTGAATGGTAGCAAGTAGGTCTGGTGTCGGTTGCTCGTACGGTGTGGGTCTGCGTGCTTGGTTGCTGCTACGGTGTGGGTCTGGTGTCGGTTGCTGTACGGGTGTGGTGGTCTGGTGCTCAGTCGCTGTACGGTGTGCGTCTGGTGTCGGTTGCTGTACGGGTGTGGTCTGGGTGTCAGTCGACTGGTACGGTGTGCGGTCTGGTGTCTGTTGCTTCGGGTGTTGGCTGATGGTCCTATGGCTGATTTAGCCAGCCGAGCTAGTTTAGTAGCATGGAGCTAACGGTCCAAATAAAATATAGGAACATTGCAGATAGTAACGTTATTCTAAATATGATTGTCAGTTATTTTACAGCGTTCAGTGACACACTGTTGGCCGACGCCCAGGAGGATGAGCTTAAGTAATTTATTATACATTTATGTACTATTTTATTCATATATTTCACTATTTTTGTGAACCTAAGACTTTGGTTTGGACTAAAACATTTGTTCCACATTAGTAAAGGTGTGTTTTCACAAGAGAGTTGAAGAATTTCATTAAACAGACTTTAAGGTTGAATGATCTCTTTCCACAGAGCTCAAACAGTACGTCATTATACAGACAGACTTTCTGATATAAAACCCATGGATATACTATATGTTATTCAAGTCCCTTTTACAGGGGAATTTATTTTAGTAGATATGTAAAATACCATTGGATCCCAAAGGGTTAATAACCATCTTGATCATAATCTTTGAATAAATCTGATATGGACATAATGTTTAATCTGAAATTGATTAATTAAGATATTTAGGTTTGTAATGATGTTTGTTTGTTTACTAGTATGAACCTGAGTCCAGATTCATCATCAATGGTGCTATCGTGGATACCTTCAACGGCGATGGCACTAACGGGATTCTCTATGAGGTCAGCAAGCCTCTGATTCCTCTCGACATTAACGGAATAAAAGAGCCAGTTGGTCCTGTAAGTACACAACACAGCTGCAGATCAATCAGTTAGCTTCTCATTAATCAGTTAATCATGTTGTGAAAAAGTCTGTAATTCCCAGAGCCTGAAGTGGATTCAGACTTATTTTAGTCTGACCAACAGTTTAAAAGAGATGATAATAAATTGTCTGTCTCTTTTATATTAATCTTTTCCTGCTTTATTTAACACAGCTGAACCTGACGGATGTGGCTGAACGTCACGGTTATAAAACCTTCTACAAACTGCTGGAGGTAAGGTTTTAAAATAAAAGGTTTAAATCTGTGAAAATGTGTTTGGGAACTTCATATCATTTCATCCTCTTCAAACTTCCACTGTGGACTGACCAGATTTAGTCCAGTTTGATTAGGATACACATCTGAAAATCACACCTGAATCAATTCACCTCTGAGGACTTTATCTGTGGAACACACTGGTCCTTTTATCCTCAGACCTTTGTTTTAGAAGAGAAACTCTGGGTAATGTATGGTTGATTGAGTCCATCGCTGTTTGTGCTTGGTCTTTTGCCTGATTTTTGTCATTTTATTTTGCTAATTTATTGGTGTGCCTCTGATGAACGAGAGCTGCTGGATAATGACATTCAGCTACACAGTACGCACATGAAGAACGAGCGAGAGGACCAACACTTAAAGAGATGGCAAAAGTCCACCAGGCACCACAGTTTAGCCCGGTGCCTAGCTTTGAAGTTGGTGGACCTAAATGGTGGCAGCCCCACATTGCGTCCTCAAAAACTGCTGCCGGAGGTCGGGCTCGGGTAGAGATGAATTAGATTTATAAAAAAACATATCTTTTATTATTTTCCTAATAATGCATACAACTGTAGTTAACTTGTTATATATTAGTTTTGATAATAATAAGCATTATATCTTTTGCACAATGTAGTTTACTTTAGCTTGTAATAAACTTTAAATGATTTATTTACTTATTTTAAGTGGAAATTTGGGTTCGGATCGGCCCAAAACTGCTTCTGTGGTTTTTCAGGGTTGCACAAAATTTTTCTGGGATCGGGTCGGCCCTGATTTTTTGGGCCCAATCTTAACACAAATGCAAAAATATAATTTTTCACCAAATTTACTACTTGTGACCTGCAATATGAGATGTTTCACTACTTATAGCCAACACATAATAGAATATAAAAATAACTGAATAAGAGCCCTTTAGGGCATTTGGACAATTCTATCTGAAATTTGCTAAACACAATTATCTGTGAAATGTGAATCTGACATAATTTTGCAACCGTGGAAATGTACTAATTTAATCGTTGTCTTGTTAAGCAGTGCTTATGTATGTTTGTATGTTTCAGGACACAGGTGTGATGGACCTGGTGAATGATGCGATCAACGAGCCGGTGACCATTTTCATGCCCTCAGACACCGCCATGGCGTCTCTGCCACAGGAGCAGAAAGACTTCCTGTTCCACCGAGACAACCGACCACAGCTGAAGGAGTACCTGAAGTACCACATCTTGCAGGCCCAGAAGGTGAGGAAGATTACAATAACTTCAAGAATGAATGAACTTCTTGGATGAATGAATGAGTGGAAACACAGCTGTCACATCTCATCATTTGTGACTTCAAGACAGAAAGTAAAGTTGTAAAAACCAGATTTGTGGTCATTTGTCTTGATAGGAAACTTGGTTGGTTGTGGCAGTGTTCAGCCACCAGGGGGCACTCTTTACATTGAAAGTTTCCTCTCTCAGGAGTCTCTGAGCAGATTCTCTCTGTTTTCTCCACACTTAGATTTACGCCGAAGGTTTGATCCATCTGGACTCGGTTCGGACTCTGCAGGGTTCCCCGCTCTCGTTCACCTGTGGCGGGTTGGATGACATCGTAAGAAACAGATAAACATATAAACTAAAGAAGAAGAGACGACAGCAGGCACTTGTTAATGTGGTTGTTATTTATCTTTGAACAGGGAGAAATCTTTGTTAATGACGGAAAGTGTCGGATCGTTCAGAGACACCTCGTCTTTAATGGTGGAATCGCCTACGGGATCAACTGCCTGCTGACTCCACCCAGCCTCGGAGGACGCTGCGATGAACAGACCACCTTTGAGCTTCGGGTAAACCGCTTTACCGACTGTTTGCTGAATCCCATTTTTAGAAGGAGGTCTGGAGATTTTATTTCTCTGTTTCTTTCTCTTCCAGAGTAAATGTGGACTGTGCTCGTCCTCAGCTACTCGCTGTCCCGGAGAGTCCAAACTGAAGGTCTGAGTCGAGTTCACAGAAATAAACCCGTCAGAAAAACGTCTGTGAGTCTGATTCTTGTCTTTGTTTTGTCTGCAGGAGGTGCAGAAGTGCGATCTTCCCACTATGTTCATCTCTAAAAACTCTGGCTGTATCAGCGTCTGCATCGTCAACTTCTGGCGGTCAAAGTGTTGTCATGGTTATTATGGACGAGACTGTCTGGGTGAGATGACGCAGTCAACTACATTGACATATACCAAATGTTATGAACACATTTACAACATTTAAGATTAACACCAGAATCCGGATTTTTTTTTTAGATTAAATTAAATAAAAACATAATTGTGACTTAACATTTTTGATAATAATGTAAATATAAAAACTTACTGTCTCCATTTAAGATGTTAAACTCACTTTCTCAGAATTTTGTGTCCCATGATTTTAACTTTTAAAGTTGTAATTTTGACTTAAAAAGTAATTTTTCTTTCTATTTCTATCTCTTCAAGAATTTAAAAGTTGCACTTTTGACTTACTTTCTTATAGTTTTTTTTTTGTTATTTTTTATTACTTATTATAAATAATCTCAACTTAAAAGTTTTCCTTTAGATTTTTTTAAGTTACAACTTTGACTTTTTTTTTTATTATCATAATTTTCACTTTAAATTTTACAGCTTTTCTTTAATATGTCCGATTGTGACTTTAAAACTAAAATGTTGTTTTACAATTATAACTTAAAAGTTGTACTTTTGACTTCCCATCATTTTTACTTAAGTCATAAAAAGGTCAACTCAGAATTTTGACTTACCATAAATATTTTTCTGACCTTTTCTAGCCATTTTTATTTCTTGTTATGGCACAAATGGGCTTCCATACATAATTAAGCAAATATCAGCTGTTGTTCTCTAAAGGGGTTTTAATATAATAAATATGTGTATTTATATATATTCTCTTAATATCTCTGAATGTAATATAATATAAACATATATATTATCTGTTTGAATAGAATACATATATATTGTACTTGTTGTAATATGAATATTTTAAATTTACTTTGTAAAAAGGAAAAACTTTTTGTGAGACTAAAGATTTCTGATTTTGTTTATTTTCTTTTTAATGGAACATTCTGACATGCAAATGATCACAGTGACATCATGAATATTAATGAGCAGATGACATTATTTATGAAGATGTTGTGAGCTGTTTATTGTTCTCTCCTCTTTCAGTCTGTCCCGGCGGAGTCAGCTCTCCGTGCAGTAACCGCGGTAAATGTGACGATGGTCAACTTGGTAACGGTACCTGTACCTGTGACGTGGGTTTTGGGGGCGTGGCCTGTGAGCTGTGCAGTGATGGATTCTACGGACCCACCTGTAAAGGTGAGCAGCCGTCAGACAGTTTCCTGTTTTAAGGTGTTATAATGCTGACTGTTTGCATTCTTCATGTGGTTCTCAGCCTGTAACTGTTCAGAACACGGGTCCTGTGACGCCGGACGGAGAGGTACAGGTTCATGTTTCTGTGAGGACGGCTGGACCGGAGAACGCTGTGAGACCCCGCAAGGTGAGTTCTAGAGGACTTCCTGTCATCTACTGAATTTAACATATGGGAAGTGGCTCAAGAGGTCTGCTAGGGTTAGGGGTTCAATCCCCGGATCCTCCAGTTCACATAGCATTAACTTCAAAAATGATATCTTCCCCGACTTTCTCTGTTGACATTTATGTGCAGTGCCAACAGTTGGCAACACAAGCTAACATTAGCTTATAAATGGAGTCCGCTAATCTACAAACGACCGACAACCACCACAACACAGAGTCCACAACACAGAGTCCAAAGTCAAAGCTAACATTACTGCAAAGCTTGTGGAACATATTGTCTGATTGAGCTTTTAGCTGGATAATGTTAGCTTGATTGCTAACTAATTGCTTGCTGTTTGTTGGTGCCAGATAACATTATTCAGGATGGCTGGGTTGCAGCTGATTTTAGCTTGCCTAATAAAAAGGATATAAATATATGTGCCATAAGGATTTTCTTTCTTCATTAATATCAGTTTGTCCATCTCACTGACAGTGTCTCTGTGTTTCCTCCAGCTGAAATCTTTCAGTGTTCTCCGCCCTGTTCTCCAAAAGCTGTCTGTCGGGAAAACAACACATGTATGTGTCGGCCATTTTATGAAGGAGACGGCTTCACCTGTACAGGTAAATGCTCCTCAGATACAATACACATAAATGCTGTGTGAGATTTTCAGCTAGGGCTGTAACGATATCAAACGTCACTACATGATTATCGCAGCTAAACGAATTCACAATAACAATATTAGCGCCTGTATTTTATCTGTAGAGATGGACATGTGTCAGATCTGGAACGGCGGTTGTGCTAAAGGAGCCAAGTGTTCTCAGACAGGAGAGAAGGTGAGCTGCACCTGTCCTAAAGGTCACACTGGAGACGGGTTCAACTGCCAGCCCATTGACCGCTGTTCCTTAGCAGACAACGGTGGCTGCCACGAACATGCCACCTGCACCCCAACGGCGCCGGTGAGAACATACCACAATCACTAAACTAGTTCGGCCCATCAGATCCGTCAGTAATATGTCATCTGTGTGAACAGGGGAAGTCGAGGTGCACCTGTAAGGACAACTACATCGGAGACGGAGTCACCTGTGAGGTCAAACAGCTGCCAATCAGCCGCTGCCTCCAAGACAACGGGCGATGTCATCAAGACGCCAAATGCACCGACCTCCACTTTGAAGGTATCCGGATGGAAATTGATCAGTGTTTTGGTTTTGGGCGTTGACCCTTCTGCTTACTTTTGGTTCTCTTTTTACTTTATCAGCATCATATAAATATTTAATATGTGCTTTGTAACACATATATAATATAATGTTGTAAGCAGATATTTGTTAACTATAAAACACCTGTAACTAGTGCATAACAATGAATAATGAAAAGATTGGTCATACATTATACAGTTTTAATAATATGAATTATAAAGTAGTTATTTATAAATGAAGTATTTATTTATCTATAAATACAAATGTTTCACTCATCTGATGTTGAACTGCGTCTTCCAGAATAAATCACATATCCTCAGATAAAAAGTTCATCATGTGCTGACGCCAACAATGTGATCTAATGATCCAGCCTTTATGAAAAGATTCTTAATTGATTTATTACTAGTAATTTACAAATCTTATTAAAGTAATTACTAAAAGGTGTGCCACAGGGTTCCATACTAGGACCACTGCTGTTCATCATGTGAATAATGTTGATACTTTACAAAAAGTCATTTTTTATGCAGATGATACAGTTACTTGTTGCTGAATTCCTGCAGTCTGCCTTTGATGTTGTTTAGTCGTAAACAGTATGCTGGTATAAAAATGTGTTTTCTGTTGTGTTTGTGTGTAGATACAACGTTTGGTGTGTTTCACTACCGTTCATACAAAGGTCAGTACAAACTGAACTACACTGAAGCCCAAAAGGCCTGCTCTGCATTGGGAGCTAACCTGGCTACATACAATCAGCTGTCCTATGCTCAGCAGGTCAGTGAACACAACACAGATACAACACCAGTTTATCTGTTTGTCTGTGACTTTCCTGTTTTGTTTTTTTTTGTCATAGTTGTATTGTAATGAGTGTTGTTTGTGTGTTAAAACCTGATATTAAACTAGTATTGAGCTATTAAAAATTAGCTACGAACACACACACACACACACACACACACACACAGTAGTGTATTTATACACCGTCCTTCTGCTCCGAACAGTCACTAGAGCACCAAATGTGGAATAACCTACTGCTGAAAATAAAAAAAGAGAATCAGAATCAGGTTCAGTAGGAGTTCACATACAAAGAAGTTCACATACAAAGAATTTGCCTCGTTAAGTTGGACCATAACAATTAACCACATAAAAATACAAAGAATACAAAAAAAATGGGAGAGAGAGAGAGAGAGAGAGAGAGAGAGAGAAATAATTGGCTGGGGAATGAGCAAATTAGCAGTGTGACATAATATTTGCAATGTGCAAAAATAAGATAAAATCCATTTGTTCATCCCCAACAAATGCACCATTTTGTCCTGTTTGTTTAGTAAAAATTACACTGACAGTTATTATATTATTGCGATCTGCTGGACCTGTTGATTAAAGTGCTGTCTGCTGGTCGTAGGGTGGGTTGAACTTGTGTGCTGCCAGCTGGTTGGACAAGGCCCGTGTGGCGTACCCCACCACCTATTCCAATCCCAACTGTGGCTTCGGACATGTGGGCATCGTGGACTATGGCACCCGCAAAGACCTGGGGGAGACCTGGGACACCTTCTGCTACCGGATGAAGGGTGAGAGAGGAAGAGGAGGAACAATAGTGTAGAACAAATACAATTAAATTATAATCAAATACATTATTATAATGACGGCATAACCCCCAATCTGTTTTGTTGATCTTTGGATGTATGATTCTGATCTATTAATTGTCAATAATCAGCAATCACTTATTTCAGAGGTGAAGTGTGAGTGTAGGCTCGGTTACGTTGGAGATGGTTTCAGCTGTACAGGAAACCTGCTGCAGGTCCTCGAGTCCACACCGACCTTCTCCAACTTCCTCACGGTGAGTCCGACGGTTGTCTGCTGTCACAAATCAAATGTTTTTAATTTTTTCCCACATAAGTTTTAATACATCGAAAATAAATAATAGACCAAACTAAATTCAAGCAGCCTAATCAAACAGCCATGGAGGAAATGGACTAGCATTGGTATAACAAATACAGAATGATAAGAGACGTAAACTAATCTATTATTGACAAAGAAAAAAATTAATTTTTAATAATCTCCCCTTGTGACACATATTTTGCTTTTTCTGCAGCAAATCCTCAACTCGTCTCAGGTGTCTGAGTCTGGGAGGAACCTGGTGAAACGTCTCAGCAACCTGACGGTCCAGTCCACACTGTTTGTACCCGACAACAACGGCCTACCCAACAACCAGGTGAGTCACACAGAAAGAGCTCACAAAAGGTACTCTGCCTGTTAACGTGTCCTCAGCTATATGTCCACGTGTCCCTCCCCGCAGACTCTGTCCCAGCAGGACATTGAGTTTCACCTGTCGGAGGGTCAGGCTCTTCCTGTCGGACAGCTGAAGAACGGCAGCAGGATCAGAACTCGTGTCGGCAGTCTGACCGTCCTCGGTGTCGCTGACCTACTCAACCCCTCAGCTCTGGTTAGAAGTTACTGCTACTGTACACTAGAGGGCGCTATTGTCCTGTCACTCACAACTCTCATTTCAGATAGAGAGATACATATACAGTATATATATACAGTATATATATATATATATCTCAATAAATTATATCTCATATATTATATAGATTCATTACACA